TATGCTAACTTGGATTTTAGCTGGTGTTTTGTGGTTTTAGCCTTCACCTGCTGTTATGCTAACTTAGATTTTAGCTAGTGTTTTGCTAGTTTTAGTATTAACCTGTTGTTATGCTAACTTAGATTTTAGCTAGTGTTTTGCTAGTTTTAGCATTAACCTGCTGTTATGCTAACTTGGATTTTAGCTAGTGTTTTGCTAGTTTTAGCATTAACCTGCTGCTATGCTAACTTAGATTTTAGCTAGTGTTTTGCTAGTTTTAGCATTAACCTGCTGCTATGCTAACTTAGATTTTAGCTAGTGTTTTGTTGGATTTAACCTCAACCTGCTGTTGTGTTTTGCTAGTTTTAGCCTTAACCTGCTGTTGTGTTTTGCTAGTTTTAGCCTTAACCAGCTGTTATGCTAACTCAGATTTAAAGGCGTACCCTAAAAATGCATTCATATGTATTAAAACATTTTGAAGTCACAGGTACTTTAAACTCTAAAACTTCAGTGTTTCACTTTGCTCTGTTTATCATCTACCCTGCGTCCGGTGCCTCGGTGCACCACGGGGACCCTCTCCTCCCCCGTCAGCGAGTTGACGTCCAGCTTGGTGGGGTCTTTGCAGCGATGTCGTCTCTGTTTGGGACGCTCCACGAAGCCGTGCAACAAACTGGCTCCAGACTGAAGAGGAGAGGAGAGAAGTCATGTTTGAGGCTGAAGCGCCCTCTGCTGGAGGCAAACAGGAAGTTCTGATAACGCTGCAGCAGAAAGATGAAAGATGTGAAACTTCTGACACCTTCTATGAGTTCAGAGGAACGTACGTGAGTCAAGGCAGGCAGGTCCATGCTGTAGCTCGGGTTCTGCCTCAGCCACTCGATCAGACCTTTGCTGGCCGCCTCTCGGTCCACCGCCACGATCTCCGGCTGAGGGGGCGTCTGGGTCGGAGTGGGGGTGGGGGTCGAGGAGGAGGACGGGGTTGGAGGTCCCGCGGGTCGCTCCGATGGAGAAGGAGACGGTGAGGAGGTGGAGGAGGAGACAGAGGAGTGGCTGATCACTTCCACACGACCCTGCAGGAGGACACACACAGGCTGATGTTGGTCTTCAACTGCTGCTATGCTAACATGGATTTTAGCCACTATTGTGCTGGTTTTAGCTCATCTTTTGCTGGTTTAAGCTTTTAGCCACTGTTCTGCTGGTTTAAACCTGTAACTGCTGCTATGCTAACATGGATTTTAGCCACTATTTTGCTGGTTTTAGCTCATCTTTTGCTGGTTTAAGCTTTTAGCCACTGTTCTGCTGGTTTAAACCTGTAACTGCTGCTATGCTAACATGGATTTTAGCCACTATTCTGCTGGTTTTAGCTCATGTTTTGCTGGTTTAAGCTTTTAGCCACTGTTCTGCTGGTTTAAACCTGTAACTGCTGCTATGCTAACATTGATTTTTAGCTACTGTTTTGCTGGTTTTAGCTCATCTTTTGCTAGATTTACATCCTCAAAGACAAACTGATTTCCCTTCAGGAGCTTTTACTTTGAAAATATTCTCTGCCCTGACGCCGACAGGCCACGCCTCCTCCTACCCACCTGAGTGTCAGGGAGGTGCAGTCCTCGGCTCTTGGCGAACTCAGAGTACAGAGCTTCCACGTTTCTCCTCCTGCCTCTCCTCCTCCTCAGGGAGTCGTCTCCCCTCAGGCTGCCGTTAACAATCTGTCCCGTGACGGGGTGGATAAGCCCCGCCTGCAGGATCCCGGACATGTCCAATCCGACCGGGCCGGGTAACGGAGCCGTGATCGGCGGCAGCGTCGGCACCTTTCCAGCCGCGGCGTTGGACTGGCCGTTTCCCGCCGCGTCGCTGGCCCCGCCTCCGCTCGTCGTGCTTATTTCTCCTGAAGCCTTGGTCAGGTCTATGGCCGTTTCCTGCCAGCCGTTTATCAACATGGCTCCGGAGCGCTGAGGGGGCGGAGCCACCACTGGCGCCTTCTCGCCACCGGAGCTGGTGGAGGCGACAGCAGGCGTGTGGCTCAGCGACACAGACTTTCCAGCTAAGATCTTGGCGGCTGCGGCGGCGGCCTCGTAGTCGAACGACCTTCGACCTCCTGCTCGTTTGAGCTCAGGGAGGAAGGGCGGAGCCACAAGCCTCTCCTGCAAGAGAGGCAAGGAGGTGAGGCGCCAAGCTCCGCGCCCGCAAGCACCGCCCCGCGGCACGTACTGTCAGGGTGGACAGGGTGGACAAGGACGGGAGAGAGATGATGGTTAAACACACATGAGACACGACACGGAGCAGCTGCACACCGGACCTGGGCCCGGTCCAAAACACGCTTTCAAATTTATCTGCAGGAGGCTTTGAAGCTACGACGAGCAGAATAAACCCAAACAGCAGCACAGCTTCCTGTTTTTAGCTTCATCTGGGTGTTTTTAAACTCCAACTTTATATCAAAATATTCAGCTCATTCATGACTTCACAGCTGGGACTTTTTAAAATAATTTTAATCTTTATTAAAATGTTTTTTTTTTTTGCACTGAACTCGAAGTTATTGAAAAATCTTTATAATTTACTTCAGCAAACTGGCTGCTTTTTTAGCTTTAGCTTCTACCGAATGTTCTGCTAATAATAACTTACCTACTGTTCTGCAGGTTTTATTCTTTAACTGCTGTTATGCTAACTTAGATTTTAGCTAGTGTTTGCTAGTTTTAACCTTAACCTGCTGTTGTGCTAACTTGGTATTTTTGAAACAATATTCAGATTTCAGGAGTTTTTGGTCTAAATGGACTAAAACAACCATACCAAAGAGCTCATGTCTTGTTTTGTTTGTTAAATAGATTTGCTCATTTCTTATTTAAAAAAAATCATTATTGGCCCAGGTCTAACATCCACATACATAAAATCAGCAACAGGAAACTTTACAAATAAGCAACAAAGCAACGGTGTAAACAAGACATGTCCAGAGCTTAAATAAAATAAAAATAAAAATAAAGTTTATCCAGCAAAGATTCTTATATTTGAATTTAACAAGAGTCCAATTATTTCATCTTATTTTGGTTTAAAATATTGTTTTATAAAGCATTCTTCATTCTGTGTATCCTTCCACAGAGAAACATAAAGCTTTTTGTTAACGGAGCTGTTGTGTGGAAGAAAACAACGGGATAAATCTTGTGTGAGCAGGAAGTGAATTTGAATTGCTCAGATTTAATCTGTATTTGCACAATTTGAAATTGAATTTTGCTAAACTGAAACTGAATTTAAAGTTTTGTATCTGAATTAATTTGCTTTGAAACTGTATTTTGGTTTATTAAAAAYTCAGTTTGACTACTTTCACTTTCAGTTCCATAATTCAGATTTTTGTGTCACATCCTGGTCCTTGAGAAAGCCAGGCAGAGTAATCAAACACAGATCCACATTCAGATTCACTTCCTGTTGGCAGGTTTTTCACACAGACTCACCTGTTTCCACAGCGACGCTGGACGTGGTCCTGGAGGTCCGGAGCGTCCCCTGAGCCTCCAGCAGCATCTGGATCTGCAACAGGAAACAGTTGAAAACACCTGGAGGAGTGGCAGAGCTTAGCCCCGCCCACCTGCTGACGGTTCTGTTACCTGAGCCTGCAGGAGGCGCAGCTGGTGGTCCTGCTGGAGCAGGAGCTGGAAGGTCTCTGAGGGAACGACTCTGTCGCAGCAGCAGGAGGGACGAGGGGGCCAGGAGGGGGACACGGGGTCCTCCACAGCTGCGGGGTGGGAGGAGTCACCAAAATGAGGAGGAGGAGGGGCAGAGCTACAGTGACAGGGAGGAGTGGAAGTGGGTGGAGTCTGCTGATGCGGGGAGGAGGGAGGAGCAGAGTGTTGTGTTAGTTGAAGCGAGGAGGTCAGAGGAGGAACAGGTGAGCAGCTGGAGGAGGGAGGAAGAGCCTTCTGATGTAAGAGAGGAAGAGTGAGATGGGAGCCAGAAGGAGGCGGAGTCTGCTGATGGGAGGAGGGAGGAGGAGCAGAGTGT